CGAACTTGAGTTGCAGATATCTAGCAGGTTGAGAGTTATATTTCCCTTGTTTAGATTATTTTTGCTTATTTGGATTACTTGCCCTATATCATTTTTATGGATTACTTGGTGCACTATATCATTATGTCTGGGACCAGCTCAAACTCAAAAGAAATTGAGGAACAGGTAAGCTGAACATTGCAATTTCTAAAAATAGGATGTCCTATTTTTTTTTTTTTTTTTTGGTACCAGGTATCAAACTTGGGTCCTTGCGCTTGCTCAGCAGGCGGCGAAACCACTGAGCTAAATCCCCAGCCCAGGATGTCCTAATTTTGAGACTCATCAAGACTTCCTTTGGTTTTACATTACAAATATGTCCTTCCCTTTCATGTCTCAAAGATCACACTATAACAGAAATTAGTGAGAAAAGAGAATTCTATTAGGCAGTGAGGGCAGTGGCCCCAAAATGGAGTCTGCTGAGTCACAGCCCTCCAGGGGTCTGGGACTTCCCCCAGCAATTTCAGGCAGGCTACTGGCTCCAGGGCTCATGGGTATAGCATGAACACTGCATAGACTGGACCCTAAAAAGTATGTAGTCCCCTATAGGGGAGATTATATTGCTTACACAGTGGCCCAAGCTCCCTTCTAAACCCCTAAAAGCCCCTAGACAAGGGCCTTCTTGGGTATCCTACTCAGAACCTCTTCCCAGCTAGCAGGTGCTCTACTTCCTTACCTTTATATCTTTTCAATAAATTTTCTTGCATGCTACTTCCTCTGTCCATGGTTTCATTTTTGTCACCATGGGACATGACCCCAGAATTCCTGGTAACAATACTACTTTAGGGGACTGGGCATGGTGGTGCATGCATGTAATCCCAGCACTTGGGAGGCTGAGGCAAGAAGGTCACTCTGAGTTCGAGGCCAGCCTAGGCTACATAGTGAGACCCTCTCTCAATAAACAAAACAAACAAGCAAAAAGCCTACTTCAGGAGGCTGCCCTGCACACAGAGAAGCTATCCTCAGGAACCTCCACTTTTAATCCTTTTTGCTTACTTTGACTACAGGAGGCCACTAACTGAGTCATCTTGGGCTGTCATGATGCATACCAGAGACTGAGTAGTTAAACACAGACATTTATTTCTAACGGTTCTGGAGGCTAGAAGTCCAAGGTCAAGGTGCTAGTACAGTGGGTTTCCTTCTGGAGCCTCTTCTGGCCTGGAGGAGGCACTGGCTGGTTGTGTGCTCATATAAGCGGCTGTCTGCAGGCTCCTCTCTCTCATAAGGCCGCCATTTGGTTCACCAGGCTCTCGTGACCTGGGCCTGATCCTAATCGTCTCCCAAAGGCCTCATCTCCAAATACCACCACATCAGGAGTTAGGGCATCAACATAAATTGGGGGATATAGTTCAGTCCACATCGAGGTTTGCCTTCTGGTCTCAGCCTTTGGGGTAATCTCTTCAAAGCCCACTCAGGGAATGTGAAATGATAACTGAGACCACAGTGTGGTATTGAAACTGCAGTGTCCTCTAATCTTTTATGACTAGAAATAAGAAATCATTTTTAAAAGTTATTACCCTATAATCCCAGCACTCTGGGAGGCTGAGGCAAGAGGATCACAAGTTCAAGCCCAGACCAGGCAGTTTAGCAAGACCCTGTCTCAAAATTTTAAAATGGCTGGGGACATATCTCAGTGGGAAGTCCCTGAGTTCCCTTACCAGTACTGGGAAAAAAAATGACCATAAATTTTAAAGGTTCTCTTTACAGTCCTCTTTGGGTACTTCCAGAGAATAATAGATAGCAGCATTCCTTTTTTCTTTGAAAAAAGTTTCTGCAAAATGTTCTTCTGGAAAGAGAATAGATACAAGAAGATGACAGTGCATTCCTCTCTGTAGGGATTTAAAAATATCACTGAATGCCACATGTTAAAAGGCATTAAAAATTCACAATGACTTTTCTTACACCCTTTTGTTTCCATTTACAGACTATGATTCCTAAGAATGCTCTGTCACTAGAGAAGCACAAAAATCAAAATTTCACCAAAGCATACTTATGATTACTGGTAGGAAAATACATAGTGTTGAAACAAGGGTGATTCTTTGGTCTCCCCCCCCCTTTCTTTTATTAAAATATTGATGGCACAATCATTTATCAAAGAATAGTAAATAATGACAGCTAATACTTACTGAATTCTTAATATATGCCAGCAATTTGCTAAGTGTTTTATACTCCCTATCTCATTTAATGCTCACAAAAAGCTCAAAAGGTAGATACTATTATCCATAAAGCCACAAAGTATTAAGTATAATTGCCTTCCTGCTCTTTGCCTTCTAAGAAATAGATTCCTAAGAGAAGTCTTTTCTTTGGTGGATGTTATTGGGGACAGGAAATGAAGAATTAGAGAAAGATACAGAGAGAAAAAATGGAGAGAAACAAAGCTGAATTGGAATAAAGACAAACTGCCAGCCATGGTAGTGCATGCCTGTAATCTCAGCACCCAGGAATCTGAGACAGGAGGATCACTCTGAGTTTGAGGCCAGCCCAGGCTACATAGTAAGTTCAAGGCCAGCCTGAACTGCATAGTAAGACCCTGTCTCAAAAAAAAAGAAAAAACAAGGGCCGGAAATTTAGCTTAGTGGTTCCACCACCTGCCTCGAAAGCACAAGGTCCCGAGTTCAATCCCCAGTACCAAAAAAAAAAAAAGAAGGACTAAAATAAGTTTAAAAAATAAAGATATAGAAACCCTGAGTGGCTAGAGGGAGGTGGAAAGATTAGGAGTGTACAGGAGAGCAAAGAGAAAGTGGAGGAGGGAGATGAGGGACCAGGATGGGGAGGGCTAGCCAGGGCTGGCATGTGTTGTGATTGTGATTCAGAACCTGCTGCCCCATGTGGAGAAAGGTGTGAAATTGTCCTGGGCTTTGTGGCTCAAGAATTTCTTCTTTTTCAAGTTCTCTTGAATCAAATAACAGTAGGATGGTCACATGCTTGAATATCCATCAGTGCGGGTCTCAAATCAAAGCAGATTTGGTACCAGTACTGGGTTTTTTTTGTTGCGGGGGGGGGGGGGTACTGGGGATCAAACTCCGGTCCTTGCGCTTGCGCAGCAGGCATCAAAACCACTGAGCTAAATCCCCGGCTGGTACCAGTACTAAGAAAGCATTTTTCTTCTGAGCCAACAGACAGGAAGCCTTTTTTGTGACTCACAAAAATAGAAGAATGTCAGGCTCCAAGGCCAAGTTCTGAGACCAAACCAAATATGTAAAATATAAATAGATCAGCAGTCTACAACCATGGGAAAACCATCCAAACTCTGTAGTCATTACGATCCTCTGAGAATACATACCACCCTTGCTCATCAAAATCCTTCAAGGTGGGAACAAAGCTGCCTTTTCTGTGATCCCCCCCCCAAAAAAAAATCCTCTGACAGAATTAATGGATCTTTCTGGAATCATGATCCTAATCTTCTTTCTCCTTGTTTTATAGGGAGTTGTTGAAAGATGTCTCTCAACTAGATCTGAGGGCAGGCTTGTGTGATCCTTGGCTTATCTGATGGTTTATGCGTAGTGGCACACACCTGTAATGCCAGCACTTGGGAGGCTGAAGCAGGAAGATTGCTGTGAGTTCTAGGCCAACCTGAGCTACATAGTAAGTTCAAGGCCAACCTGAACTACGTAGTGAGAGCTTGTCTCAAAAAACCAAAAAAGAAAGAAAGAAAAAAAGAATGAAAGCTTAAGTATAGGCAATACATTAAAGGAGACCCAGCCAAGGTCACCTGGTCAATGGTAGAACCAGATGGGCTGAGGACTGTAACCCCAGTCCTTCCTGGAACGCTGGCCCCTACTGCTCCCCCCTGCCCCACCCCCCGTCCTCTTGATAATAATAACAGCTGGTAGGAGTGTTGGCATACACCTATAATACCAGTCCTCTGGGAGGCTGAGACAAGAAGAGCAGTAGTTCAAACCCAGCCTGGGCAATTTAAGGAGACTCTATCTCAAAATAAATAAATAAATAAATAAATAAATAACATTTTAAAAGGTCTCAGGATGTAGCTTAGTGTGAAGGCCCTGAGTTCAATCCCTAGTGCCAAAACAAAATAAAAAGAAACAAACAACAGCAATAGCGAACTTTTATTTTTGGCCCTTCTGGGAATTCAACCCAGGGGCCTTGCACATTCCAGGCACTCACTCTACCACATTGTATTTGGTTATTTCTCTTTAGTCTCATTTAATACAGAACAATCCCCCAATTTTCTTCTTTTATTTAAGATACTGACTTTCTGAAGAATTCAGGTCATTTTTCTTATAGAATGTCACAAATGTCACAGTGCCTTATTGGGTGTGTTTGTGTTTTTTGTTGTTGCTTTGGCAGTGCTGAGGATCAAACCCAGGGTCTCATACATGTTAGGCAAGTGGTCCACCACTAAGCTATACCCCAGGCTTCTTAATTTTATCTTTTAATGCATTATTATCCAGCAAAGCCAAGTCTGACCTGCCCAAGAAGGCCTATTATATTTGAATTTGAATTAGACTCATTTTATAGAAGAGAAAACTGATTCCCAGAAAAGCCAAATTAACCCTGGATTCACAGCTAATAATCAGAGCCAAGGTACTACCCAGCCAGCTTAACTCAGCTTGTGTGTGTGATGCAGTTGAACTTGTTTCTCTGTCACTCATGTTTCCTGTCAAGTAGAAGTTGAGTGGTTCAGGTTAAACATTATTGGAAAAATTATTTCACAAGTGATGCTTTATCCTGGGTGAGGTAGCCCATTGGAATGCATATGTCAGGTGCCCCACTGTCAGTGACCAGTGTGGAGCACATGGTTAAAGTTCTGACCACCAGATAGCTCCCCTTGCAATAATAAAGTGGAGTAACACTTTGGCACCTTGCAACATCCTGTTCTGCCTTGTTCATTTTTGTAACCTACAGTTTCTAGCATAGGCCATACTCAGTGCACGGATGAATTCAACCTTGTCCTTACAAATTATGATTAAGCACAAGCACCTGAGTCTCACCAAAGCACTTACCCTAATGGTTACTCTGGAGAATGGAGGCCGTGCAGCCCAGAGAGCAGGTACGGGGATCCCTTGAGCAGCTGCTAAGAGTCACAGAGCTTCCTCTGCCAGCACACAAGCCAAGTTCCCAGACCCACACTAAGTGCTTAAGAGGAGCTGCCTCTTCCAGAGAGGCAGAGCGTGGCAGAGGCTGGAGAAGTAAACATTTTTAAAGCTTCCTTTTAAAAGCTGAGAACAGTTTTCTGTTTTGCAATAAGTGAAGACTGGGACTCTCCCTTTATTCTTGGATAAACCACCTGCCTGGTTCATTCATATTATGCAAATGTTAAGCAGGAAATGTTCTAGCAAAATTGTTTCCTATCATAATGTAAGAGGGTGCCTACGCTTTAGCAGAGTCAATTCTCTTCAGGGATTTTTTCCGTTAGGAGAGCTCTGTGTGTGTATGTGTGTGTGTGTGTGCGCGCGCGTGCGCGTTTTGCCTAAGGATGGTTTGATTACACTGTAAAAAGTCTTGCTAGTTCTAATGGACATGGGTGGAAGGGAAATCCCCAGAAATGGCCTACACCTACTCTTTCCTTTTTTTTTTTTTAACAATAAAAAGAAAAGTTTATTTGTAGGGCCGAGGATATAGCTCAGTGGCACAGCACCTGCTTGGCAGGTTCAAGGCCCTGAGTTTGATTCCCAGAACCAAAAAAAAGAAAGAAAGAAAAGTTTATTTGAAAAAGTAAAAGTAGAGTGAGGGAGAAATTGGGTCTGCAGAGTGAGCCCGGGGCCAAGTGAAAGAGGAAAAAGCAAGCTAAAACAACACCCTGGAGAAGGCAGGGTGGGCTATTGTGTGGAAAGCCAGGGTAGCCAGTCTTTGCTGTTATGCAAGCATGGTCCATGGAAGTTTCTTCAGGCTGAGTGGAAGAATCCAAGCAGATGGGTGCCTAAGCTATCAGGGACCTGACTGTGGGCATTCTCAGAAGCCCCTGGGGGACATCTGAGGAGTGGCTTCAAGTCACCTTATCTGGAAGTCAGGAGCTCATTCTGATACAGCACAGAAGAGTGTTGTTACACCAGTAGGCACACACGCACCTCTGGCCCTGAGAAAGCAGTGTGGGGCTGGAAGTGGTGAATGAGGTGAAAGACATGGAGAAAGAGCACCTCTTTCACTGCCAGCTACAAGAGAGAATGAGAGGGCACATAGTACCAGATCCTTTTCTGTTTGTTTTTTCAGTACTGGGAGTTGAACCCACTGCCTTCATACTGAATATCCCCATGCCTTTTTTAATTTTTAATTTTGAGACAGGATTTCATCAAGTTGCTAAGTTACCCAGGCTGAGCTAGAATTTGCAATCCTCCTGCCTCTGCCTTCCAGAATGCTGGGATTACAGGTGTGTGCCACCATATCTGGCTCAGATCCTTTTAAATTTTAACCATTGTCAGACTGTTTTCTGCAGCCAGGCCTGGACAGTGGCTTTCTATGGTGTGTCATTAAAGATGGAACTGTATGAGTTAAATAGCGGTTCTGTCACCTGTTGACCTTAATTCATCAGTAATGGGTCAGAATTTACCCACCTAAGAGAGGATCTCTTCACTAGGATGAACACATTATCCAAAGTTTCTTGACTTCTGGAATTCCAAGACACTTTAAACCGTTTAGCAAAAAGTTTGGGGAACAGCCCACCAATCTCCACTTACCTCAAAACAACCATAGGCCTCTTGGCAAATCTAGAGTCGCCAGGGATTTAGCTCAGTGGTGCTGCCACCTGCCTTGCAAGTGCAAGGTCCTGAGTTCAATCCCCAGTACCAGAAAAACAAAAAGAAAACAAATCTAGAAAGAGTCATCCTCTGCAGGGTCTTGGGTAACACTGTGCTTCTGCATGAGGAGGAGGATAATACTGAGGTAGGAGAGAAGAAATTAAGATAGGCAGAAAAGAGACAAGGAAAATCAGAATTCTGGAATTGTGCTTTTTTAAAAAAACTACACCAGGCATTGCACCACACACCTATAATCTCAGCCTTTGCTAGGCTGAAGCAAGAGGATTACTGTGAGTTTGAGGCCAGCCTGGGCTACATAGAGAGTTCAAGACTAGCCTGAACTACATAGCAAGATCCTATCTCAACAAAAGAAAAACCAAGAAGAAGAAAAAGAAAAAAAACCCTGCAGCTTCAGGACACAAAAGTTACTTTTTCTCCTCCAGGAAATTCAGTCCAAAAAAAAAAAAAAAAAATCCTAAGGGTCTTAAATACACAGTAATCCTGTAAATTGTGCTTTGGGCCTATACTTTTCACCTTCAGTGGCACTTCCTCTGAAAGACCTTCACCTTCAAGGACAGCAATTCTAGTGGCAGCATTTTTCAAGTTCAAACACATGTACATAGCTTGCATTCTGATATACCCAGATAGGTAACTGGACAGACAGCAGGAATATACCTCCTAGATCAAACACATTGAAGACCCCCAAGTCCCATCAGTATACCCACTCTAGATCTCTCTCAGGCCTACACTCTGTTTGGGGATATTCTTTAAATTTCTGCCTAATAATTTCCTTTATGCCTCTTTCTAGTCCTAAAAATTCTTTCAGGGTGGGAATCAGTGAACCTGCAATCAAAATTCAGAGGGAAGGGTGTGTCTAGCTTCTTTATCTTGGTGGGAAACTCTTGGAACGTTCCAGTGACAGAATGGTTAGAGCACAGGGCCCAAGACCCGAAAATCTTGCTGCTGCTTCTGTTCTTCTGACACCTTCGGCCTGTTAACTCCTCTCCCAAATGTTTATTTTTCCAAATATACAAATAACCGTTGAGTGTGGACTCTTCAAATGGATCTTTGTTTTATTGTACACAGCAAATATTCTCCATGATTGAGGTCTGAGTTGGTCAATATTATAACTTGTAAAAAATTGAGTTTTCTGCTATATTTTCCTTTAAATATTTTTTGTTCAATTTTTGGGGAGGGCAGTGGGCTAAATAACTTCTCAGAGATGACTTTTTCTATTACCTCTATGAACATTTTTATTTCCTCCTTTCTTGAGTTGTTTTATTCGGTTGTTTCCAATAGTTCTTGTCCTTTTGTGAAAAGCCTTTGAAGCTACTAATTAATTATCTTCCAATACATATTTTGGTTGCTTCTACCAATTTTATTGTGACATATTCTTATTATTGGCTTTTGGGTCCCAAAGAGATTCTTTCCAGGTTCTCAGTGTCCTGAACAAAGAATTGGACAAGGCACACAGGAAAGGCAGCAAGGATTTACATTGCTCTGCAGAGTGACAGCAGCCAGAGCAAAGGAATAATGGGTAGGGTTCTTTTGTTCCTTGGGTTCCTAGACTGCTAATAAGGCGGCCAAAGGTTGTCTTATCAGAAACTCGCTTGGCCTGGTGTCTGATTTAAGCTATCCCTCGGAAGGCCCTTTGGCTTTGTGCCAAGTGTAAATGAAGAGTTGAAGATGGCACTTTGCTGATTGGTCCCACCAGGGTTCAGGAATGGCATGGTCATCCTGGATTCTGTGTTCTGGAGAGATGCCCTGGGTCTCGACAAATCACACCCACTTGTCCCAGTCCTAATCCCCTACCTCATTCTCACTAATTTTCTAAATAATGTAAATAATATGTAATTTTCTATTTGATTATTTAAATCAAGAGTTATTGAGAATGGTATGTTCAGTTTTCTAAAAGATCAAGATTTTTGGGTTTGCTTTTTTTTGAGACAGTATTGTTAAGGGATATGTAAAATGACTGCAGGCAATAGCACCATCCCTAGATAAGGAAATGTCTGCAGCATTTCTTAACTGCAACCCCCATCCCCACTTGAATCGGGCCAGA